TGGTGCCATTTTAGATTTTTAGTTTTCCTTTTAGTAGCAAAAGAGTATAAAGTCAACCTGATGGTAAGTGGATTCAGTAGCCCAAAGACAACTCGGTTATCCATAAATAATCGGTTTGCAGATAATGTGTTGTTACCAGAAAAAGCAGAAATGACCGTATTTAGATATATCACCGCTTACAATTTGCTATTTCATAATAGATGAAAGAGATTAGATACTAGTAACCGAATAATCCATCCTCGTATATTGAATCAATATAAGGTCACCCAAATACCTTTATATTGATTCGGTAGCGGAAATAGACCTTTAAAGTTTGGGCTCTAGAATAAAAAAAGCTATTTAAATATAAAATTAGGTGTATTTCTTGTAGTTATATATGTTAGAGCAAATTGGATTAAACTAATTTCAAAAAATTATGCATCTAAATTTAATAGAATTTAATTACTCGACGTTTTTAGTTCACTTTGCAGCAACTTATACCAGTCTCCTGCTACTGAAACAAGCGGTTATATTTATCATAATTAATAAAATTTATATTACACATGATAAAATCCATAGAAGTTAACAAGATGTGTGATTGCTTGATCGTCTTCATCATCTTAATCTTACTGTAAAATATCTAATGCTGGACAAGGGCCTGTCCTATTATAGAAAGAATTGGCCGGCATGCTTGGCTAAGTGAACGAGAGCTTTTTTATAGAATAAAGATGAGATACTACTACACATTCAACATGATGGTAAGTGGATGCTGTAGCTAATAATCATCTACATCTAACCTCGATAAGATTCATCAGATACGTAAATACCACGTTTTCTTATAGTAATATTCTGTGAGAGCGTGGTCCTTCCCCGGTTGAACCGGCCAATTCGCGCCACTATTATAATATACGTGTAGCTACAAAATGGCTCTACCACTATAAAAGTACTTTTTGGTGTAATAAAGTACTCTTTGGCGAGTGTGGAAGCACGTACACAATATATAAGAGAAAATTATATAGAAGGCTACCAAGGCATTGTTACCTCTGATGACTTTGATGGGATGTCTTACAAGTCTATAATATTATTCTGGCTCTCTATCAAAAAGGAGTTCTATCACTGAGTTATATCTGATACTTTGTATGCAATATTTAATATCTCCGAATAAATTTAGGGAGGCTACTAAATACCCAATATTTACGAGTTATTTCAAAGTTGTCTACATTCGTTAATTTTATCTAACATCAGTTGATTTCGAATATTTTTCTTTCTCTCACTTTATCCCATTATTTTGGGTCGACGCAACATGTTTCTTAAGTCGAGTTCTCTTTATTGGCTTCACTCAAAGCCTTTCCATCGTCACCTTTTGACATTTAGGCGCAAACATTATTTATTTGAAAAAACTTTCTTTGTGATTCTTTTAAGCTGAGATTTGTTGAAGTAAAGAAAAGGGATAAACTGAAATTTTTGAATATAAAAATATTATAACCATATGTAAAGTTGAAATAGAGCTCGCAAGTTGTGAGTACTATTATAAAAAAAGGGTGAGAGTCCCAACCCCTTTTTTTATGGCTAATATGTTTACGCATACCAATCTTGTAGGGGCAATGACGAGTTGAGTCCTGAGGGGACGACAGCTCCACATGTTCCTACTCAGGCAAAACATGCCAGAGCACAAGGCACGCTTTCCTTCACGGCCTCCATCTCTGGAAGAGGATCTGTGTGGACAGATCCCGCAAGTAAAAGCTATCTGGATAGGAAAAATCAGACCCGAAGGCAACAGTTTTATTATTATGTATATAACATTTACATGTGTGTAGTTCTAATAGTTTTTGCATACTGGAGGGTTCGAAAATGGTTCAAAATGTTTCGCCCTTTTCCGAACTTGGCTAACATTTTGCTATGTCTAGATTTGCATTTATTTTTCGCTTAGCAGGAGGTTTCAACATCGTACGTCTCGCTTCTTTTACATTACTACCCGTCGCTAGTCTTGGTATTTTATGTCTGGGGTAACTAAGGTTATACCGCCATATCTGGGGTTGCCAGCTCCCGTCTTATATTTTACAGGATTTGATAAGATTAAATAAAGAACATAGGATTAAAATAAAGAATGTCATATTGTTTTCAAAAAAATACTCTTATAGTATCTGTAGTTTTGCGAAATATATTATTGTACGTACCCTAAGTGTTAAAGTAGTTTGTGTACTTGAGCGATTTTTATTATAAATTATACCCATCCAATCCTCCAATGTTATATAAAATATTGGAGGATTGGAGGAGCTGTGGTAGTTAAAAGGCGAAGCGCCCACTGTAAATCTCATGTTACGCGAGAAACTCGGGTTCGATCCCCGCTGGCACCTTTGAATTGTAAATTGCTATTTTAAGTGCTGATTTACCGCGTGCTTGTGGGTAAAGGAAAACATCTTGAACATGTGAAATTCGCCAACACGCATTGGAGTAGCTCAAACCAAAATGAGAGTAGGCCTGTGCCCAGCAGTAGGTCGTAACTAACTAACTTTATAACATTAAAACCGGAGCTAAAGTAATAAAGCTTTAAACCCAAGAATTTTTTTAATTTAATCTTAAATAAAACAATCGAAGAAAAAAATTATTCAAGCGAAGTCGCAAGGCTAAGCTGGTTTTATATAAATTCATTTTCTAACGTTTTTAGTTGCCGCAGAATAAAAAACTTCTACGTCAGTGGATTTATTGAAGTCTTTAGCGGAAATTTTGCGCAAGATAAGAGTACTTTTGATTACACGCAAATTTATTGCAAAATAAAAAAAAAGTGTGCGCAAAAGTGCATGACTGCAATAATTTGCGAGTTTGACTCTACGTTGAAAATTCCTTATTTCAAAATAACCATCCATATATTACTGTTGCGCGCCATAATTAATGCCACTAGCGTCATGTAGTATCGAGTAGCAGAACTAACTCGTCAGTCGGAACCGGTAATCGAACACGTTAATGTTTCAGTAGAAGAGGGCCTGATTTGCGTAAATACGATCATGTGTCAGATTTTCGTCACAGGCTTAAATATGTATATAATTATTCTACCTTTATCTAGCTACACTATTTGTTTATATGTATAGCATATTTATGTTATATGTAATATGTAGTTTCAAAATATATATTTGTACTTTTATATAATATTAAACTTTTAAATAATATTATGTATATTTATATTTATGAAAAATATATATGTATATATTAATAAGTATGTATGTATTTACTTATCTATGTACTTGTATACTATTCTATATTGTTACGAGCTTAGGGTTCGTGACAATAAAAATTGCCGATAGAATTACCAAAATTAACACTTTAATTCACTTTACACTAATTAAACTTAAAACACTAATATTTCGCTTCTTGCGTCTTTATTTCTATTTTATAGCTTATAATAAAAATAATGTTATTATTTTTCCTAAACCACACATATGTTTTTATTAAGCTATTGCATAGCTTCTATCGCGGGCCTTGAGTGCGAGAAAATCTAGAAATTTCGTAACGAAAAAAACCTCAAGCTCTCCGACGGGCACGAGGTGTGGCTTGAAGGCCGTGCATTGTCTAACGATGGTCTAACGTCGTTTCTTTTCCTCAGTCTTCGACACGGTGTTTGTGTATAAAGTGTTTTGAAATTTTGAATATGAATGAACAAAGTGCATTTATTATTAATGAAGAAAGTCACGAAAAAATAGTGAAAGAAAATGAGTGAGTACTCTATATACATACCTACATTTTATTATTATCACAAATGCAGTACTAATTTTGAATTGAAAATATAATACTGCTATAAAAAAAAAAACTAAATTTTTGATATTAAAATGAGCGATATTAAAAGTAGCCCTCTTTATATACACACAAAAACACACACGCGTATAGTTTAAATTCTCAATTTAGATTCTCAATATGTATATATATACTCGATTAACCGGACTAATTGTTGCCGTTAGGGATTCGTATAATCGAAAATCCGGATGATCGAATGTGTGAAGAAAAGCGGGTTTTATGCATTTGTAGTACATATGTACATACATAATGTTATGTGTTTATTAAAAACAACAATTTCAACGAAAATCAATGTTTATTAAGAAATTATTATTTTTTAATAAACATTGATTAAATTCCATGAAGAGATATAAATCTATATAACCATCCGTTACTTGCAACAAACCAGCCGCCGTCACCTAATTTTTTATTTAATTGTAATGCTTTTTCACAAGCAAAAGCAAAGGGCCAGATATCATTTGCCCAGTTGATCGTTTTTGTAAAAACCAACAATACAAAGCGTCTTCTAATTGCCAATTTACTCGCGGACATAGGTCCTTATGTCCGGGACGGGGGTTTGTTAGCGCCTGATAGTAGATCGTCTTATCTCAAGCGGTGTGAAGCAACGATTAGTGAGGTGCGGTTGGGGGAGGCTAGCTGCATTTGTGCGCGCGGTCGGTCACCCCTAAAGTTGGGCGTTATAACATACAACAGAGACGATGCTGGAACCAGAGTGATCTAAGTGACATTTTTGCCAAAAATGGTTATTTTACACAATTGCAAAGAAAAATCATAATTCTTTCAGGCCATACTGATCTAAGTGCTTCCCAGTATTTTTTCCTTGAGAAATCACAACATCTCACTATAGAATCGGTGCGGTTTGCAAAATGGAGACATGCCAGACTGATCTAAGTAATGAGAGCGCACTTAGATCGCTGTGGTCGCAAGTTGCTGGCGTTTATGGAAATCCAAACTGATCTAAGTGCAATAAAGAAATAATAAATTAATTGTTTACAAATAATTTACGTTATTTTTATTTAATATCTATGTTTATATACTTAAAACAAATAATATGGTTTGATATTTTTACAAAACCACTGAATATTTTTAAACTGGCAACACAAACGCAGTCACGTCTACAAAATCAAAATCAATTGACGTTACTTGTCATATTGATTTCGGTTTAGTCACATGCGCTTGCGATTATCTTTTGTTTTATTAAATATTTTAATTGAAAGGGTGTTACGTAAACAATGGATAACAGAAACAGAGCTAAAAGAATAGTGAATATGGCATTGCAATCTTCGCCGCCGCCATCTTCATCGACTTCAACAAATGAAGATTTTTCAAGTGATCATTCTTCTTACCATCCACAGCAAAATGTAGAAATATCCACAGAATTAGAAGACAGTGAAGGTACGACTTTTATTGTGTGATTTGCAGTTCGATTTCAGAATTATATTTTTTCAAATATTGTTGCTTGACTTACACTTATGTTATTTTAATCAATTAGCACGAAAATACTTATAAGGCTATACCCTATAATAAACTACTTCCTTAATATAACCTATTTTTATAAGCAAATACTCGTCTGTTGCGTTTTTGATTCATGTTTGAATCTGGCTTGGGCTTGGATTACAGCTTATGCTGTTCTTTACAGATAATGAAGAAAGAAGAGATCCAGAGGGTGCTATAGGTAACTTGGGGGAAATAAATCATCCAGATTTCGATGAACCTGTCAGAGGAAGAAAAAGAGTTCGGAATTTCGACAGATGGGCAAAGAATATAAGGAAGCGAAAAAGAACTGCAGGCCAAGAATATCGCATCGTACGAGGTAGTATTGTCCCAGCTAAAGTATTTACACCAGGTGTATGCAGCTATAGGTTCAAATGCAGTGAGCAGGTTTCATCTGAAAATCAAGAAGCAATACACGTAATGTTTTATCAGCTCACCTCATGGGATGCTCAAACAACATGGTTGTGCAGCGCCATTAAGACTTTAGAACCAAAACGCCGTAAGCAAAGACAAAATGCTCAAAATCCTAGCCGTATAAATTATGTACGCCAATTCATGCTGTTGGACAAAAGAGTTTGCAAAAGTTTCTTTTTAAAGGTCATACAAATGTCTAACAAAAGATTAGATTATGCATTACGCAATAAAAAATCTGTTTCTGGAATAGCGGAAAGAGATAAGAGGGGACAACATGTACCTGCTAACAAGCTGTCTGATGAAAAGTTGAACTGGATTAAAGACCACATTAATAGTTTTCCGAAATTTGTGAGTCACTATGGAGAAAGACGATCAACACGAAAATATTTGCGCCCGGGATCTTTCAATGAACAAAATGTATGAACTTTTTAAAGCAAAATGTGAGTCAGAAGGAAAACCAATATTGAAAAAGAGTGCCTACGTCAAAGTATTTACAACCGAGTTTAATTTACACTTCTATATCCCTAAGGCAGATACTTGTAAAACCTGTGATATGCTCGAGATAGCAATAAAGGCGGAAGAAGATATAGAAACATGCCTAGCTATAAGGGTACAAAAAGATCAGCATATTAAACTTGCAGGCGAAGTAAGAAACATATTAAATGACTATAAAGGTAAAGTCAAAACTGACGAATCGATATTAGTAGCTACTTTTGATCTGAAACGAACCCTGCCTCTTCCTTATTTGAATACTGGTGAGGTCTATTATTTAAGACAACTGCAAATGCTGAACTTCGGTATTCATGCTTGTACTAAGGAAGGAGAAAAAGTTCTCATGAATAAGTGGCCAGAACATTGTGGGGCCAGAGGCTCAAAAGAAATTATGTCGTCACTTCACTACTTCTTAGAAGATTCCGTGCCGGACACTGTCAAATCACTGTGTTTTTTTAGCGACTGTTGCTCCGGTCAAAACAGAAACTGGAACGTTTTACACTTTATGATGTTTCTGGTTAATAAATCGCCATATCTAGAAACGATCACCATGCATTATCTCGTCAGTGGCCATACTTACCTGCCTAACGATACCGACTTCTCTTTTATAAGTCGTGAACTAAAAAAGAAGACTGATATCTATACACCAGAAGATTGGATGAAGCTCGTCCGAGACTGCAGAAAACAAATACCTTTTACTGTGCGAGATATGAAAAATAAGTTTCTAGATTATGAAAGCCTCACAACACTATTCAAAGATTATCAGATTGTATTAAGAGAAGGCGCAAAAATTTCTAAGATGCGGAAGATAAAGTTTTGTAAAGGTTTAAGTATAATCAGTTACAATGATGACTACACTGAAACATATGAAACAGTTGATTTAAAACCAAATGATATGGATTCTGAAACTTTTTTATGTGACCTAAAGAATTATATACCAGAAAAAGCCCCTGAAACCAGACTAATATCGTATCAAAAAATGCAAGATATTAGAAAAACTCTAAAATTCGTACCTCTTATCCATCATCAGTTTTACTTGACAATACCACATGTTCCTAGAAGAGGTGGCAATCAGGAAGCACAAGATGATGAAAATTTTTTTGCCTGCTGTATTTGGTGATGATTAATATGATTTTTCTTCAAAATCAAAGTTTACACAAAATTTTTTTTGTAAAAATACGAATATTAGTTTTAATAAATAACTCATACTGATAAAAATTGATATTTTTTTATTTAAAACTCATTAGAAGTACATATAACAAAAAAATAATAATAAAAAGCCTATAGATTTCCATTAATAACGCGTAACGCATTTCCTTCATTTTCTCAGAAACATACTATTGTACCCTAGATCACTCTGGTTTTAGCGTCGTTAGATAATATATTTCATTATATATTTTTAATCTTACAACACATTAGAATAATGAACCATTGACTGTTATAATATTATATTCATTATCGTTAGAAAGCGTCATCTGTTTACGTTTACGGTCCAACCGTCGCGTCGGCCGAGACAATGGGAGTCAATAAAATACTACCTACATTCATTATGCCACAAGGAGTGCGGATAGCTTACACTAATTTAAACTCTAAGCTGACTGAATAAGAGCTTATTTTAATAACCTAAATTATAACGGTAAACAAAAATATATTATTTCCTCCATTAGTTGCCTGTTGTGCCTGTTATTTAATTTGGCTGTTGTAATATATAATATATCAGTTTAGTGTTCAGTTAGCTGTCTAGCTGAGATGACAATGACACTGTTATCTGTTAAATTATATACGTAATGTTTTGATAGCAGGTCCCCATATTACGTGAAAAAGCTATTGTGGTTTTTGTTTATTTTTCGTTAAACAAAACGCGAACACAGCCGACGACTGAACTGAACTAACCGCGTGTACAATGTAATATTTAAAACTGTTATAATATATTATACCCAACAGTTAGAAAAATATAGTTGTTCATATATTGAAAGTCTCCTTGTTTTGTCTTAGACTTATGTTAATAGAGCGTGCCATTTGAACTTAAAGAAAATTAATTGGACAATAAATAATAAGTGACAAATCTTGCCGTGGAGCGTGGAACTGAGTAGTTGCGCGTCTTGTTAATATAATTGCCGTACGGCCGCCCTGACGTATGTACTGCGCGAACCTGAGTTTTTTGCGACGCGGTCCGGTGATACAGTATTTTTCACAAATAGTGAGTTCGTTATAACGCAGGTTCGGTTAAATCTGGTTGAATTTGATTGGATTAACCTAAGTAACTTGAATTAATATCAAAGAAAAAGAAATACTGCATAAATAAAATAAATAAATAATTATAATTGCATAAGTTGATACAAAATGCTATGCAATAGCTTTAACGCGGCAGTCCCCGAGTGCCACACGTCTTTTTATTGTTTTCTTGCAATTTTGTCCATCTAAATCTAAAGGTTGTCTGTAAGAGATCGCTCTTAGCGATAAGACCGCCCCTTGTACCACATTTCTTTCTCTCCTTTTTTGTTAATTTTTATGTTTTTTTTTGGCGTGCAATAAAGTGTTATCTATCTATATAAGACCAGTAAGGAACGCGACCGTGTGAGTTATTAATTGACAATACGAGCGAATACTTCGAAGCGATATAACTGCGGTTTTCAGTTGCAATTTGTGTCCGGTAATAAAAGTGTCAATTTTGGCAATTCAATCGGCAGTTTTTACTGTCACGAACCCCAAGCTCGTAACATTATAAATGCGAAAGTGTGTTTATTGATTTGTCCTTCTTTCACCCAGCAATGGAGCAACGGATCGACAAACTTTTGCATGGAGATAGTTTAATGGCCGGAAAGTGACATAGGCTATCCCGAAAAAATGCACGGTTCTTTTCGAATTGATAAGTAGTGTAATTCTGTAATTACCTTTTTATGATCCTTTAGGTCTTAGCGTAACACATTGGCTAAAATTTTTCGAAATTATGTCGTATTCTGGCCTCCATGGAGCGAAGCCGCGGGCAAAAGTTAGTCAGTATAAATCTTTTCTTAACATTATTTTTACTGAGAATTAGCGACTAACGTATTGTTTTAATATAAAACCAGTAATATAATTTTGTAATAAATTAAATCTTAAAAACTTTTTAGACTTAGTGTTTTTAAGATATTTCAAATTATTTATTAAATTTAATACAAGTAATGCTACTAACATTGTAAATACTACAGTTAACCACTCGAAGTGATATGTGTGACTTCGAGTGATTATCCACATCCCAGTGTTGGGTGCCTTCCGAGTTAACTGCGTGACTATTAACCACCAATTGATACCTGCTCGCTTTTCTGGGCGCACGATAATATTTTATTGCGGAACCTAGATGTAAAATATAAAGAATTTTTTTATGAGACATCGTAAAATTCTTTATTAGTGAGCGTTGACAATGCAAAATGAGTAACTATAAAAAATTTAAAGTCAATCGAGTGTGTATAGTTTTAGTTCAGTGAGTTCGTTAATCATTTTTGATTAGCATTTTTAAAATAACATTTAGATATAGTATTTTGATCATGAAATAAATTAAGGTCCTTTTAATAATAGCTATAATATAGAAGTACCAAAATTGTTCTCATTTCAACCTTAAGATATTTTCGCAGTTCATCGCGTGGGACCAGACATCGATAAGTATTTTGTACGATACTACGCTTTTATACGCTCGATAATAAAAATATTTCTACTTCAACAGCTCGTATAAGTTCACTGCTGGACTTGGGCCTCTTCTGATGAAGTGAACACTTGGAATGATCGTTGCACTTGCAGACGGATTGGAGATCCCACTTGCAGACGTCTTACACCGTAGTCGCCGCTATTCGCCTCCGGTCTGGGTGTTTTAAATCTGATGGGATTTCTATGCCCTTCATAAACAATTCGTTGAGGTAACGTTTAATAACATTTGAAATCAAATTCATACCGTAATATCTAGCCAATTAGTTTGACATCGAAATCTTTTAGTGTTTTACCTTGAAATCTCGAAGTCATCGTAATAAATTATATTATATTTTCAACAGTTCTCAAATTTTAGCACCACGGTTTATGCAGTAATATAAAACGGTAAACGAAAATAATTCAAGTAACCTTCTGGCATTGACAGTGGCAAAATTAAACGACTCCATAAATCTTTTATTATGCGTTGTGTACTCAGCGGAAACGACGCAAATATAAATCCTCGGAATATTGACGAAATGTACATACGAATGATTTAAATCTAATATTTTCATAAGTATGAAAGAAATTTATTTTTCCTCTAGCCAATTTTTATTTAATGATAATATATTTATGTTACAATTCTTCGAAGCACTAACACATCTATTTATTTTCGTGACTCCATCTAGTGGGGCGTCACTCTACACTTCGCCTACCGGTACGAGACTACTACTCGAGAACCTTTTTCCAAATCGGTTGTCGGTTTTTCGAGCTATATGGCCAGCCCATTGCCACTTCAGCTTAACGCTGCAGTGTGTCGTGTAGTGGCGGTTAAGAATATCTACTACCCCATATCTTCCCATGAGTGTCGTAAAAGGCGAGAGAGGGAAACATCTTCCCTGGATCCTTTGGAAAATGCAGATGCTTTGTCACCCCAGAAGAATAAGATAAAATCCCTCGATTCCGGTAAATCGGGTTTCTGGTTCTTTACACCTACCATACGAAACAAAGCAGCATTAAGCTGCTATTTTATATTAGTATTCTGTGAGAACGTGGTCGTTCCCCGGTCGAGCCGACCCATTCGTGCTACAACCATATTATAGCTGCAGCGTAGCTCTACCACAAATAAACTCAACTTCTAAAATCTAAAGGAATAAAATAATTACCACATAATTGAATCGTTTTTGAAGTCAGAGCTTTTATTTCTCGAAACATAGTGTATGTTTTGGCACCGAAACCAGAAGTCGGAATCGGAATAATGGGATCATTTCGTAAACAGAATAACGAATTTTAATCGAGGCAGCGACATCTGCCAGGATTAAAAATCTTATATAAACAATTATGACGAATCTCGAAAAATTTACCTCCCTTTTTATCCGCGACGAAACTGAGAAGGTGTATGTGTTTAGGGTGAGAGGTTTTTTGTTTGTTTGTTTGTGTGTGCAAATGATTGTTCCCATTTATCTCCAAATCGGGTGAATCGATTTGGATATGGTTTCCTGTAAATGGTTGGAGAGTTATCGGCGATGGTTCTTAGATAAGTGTTATGATGTTAACTCGCCACGGGGCGCTACTATAAATTAATGTTTCTATTTATCTCCAAAACGGTTGTACCCATTTATATAGAGTTTTCTTTAAAGAGTATGTAACTCATCGGCGATAGTTCTTATATAGGTTTTATGATTATAACTTGCCAAAGACCGCTGCAATAAACATTTTTGTGCAAGCGATTGTTCCCAATTATCTCCAAAACAGGTGGACCGATTTAGATACGATATTCTGTAAAGGTGTGTTACTCATTGGCGATAATTCTCAGATAGGTGTTATGGTGTTAACTTGCCAAACGAATGCTTCCATTTACATCATTCAGGACTGACATTCAAGGAATGAAGTCACCATGTAACAGCACATCACTCTTCAGAATGCTACAAGCCGTTAAGATAATTGATAGAATCGGGCGTTACTTTGCGGAAATCCATTGTAATAAAGATATTACTTAATTTGTAACCTTCCGCTAACTAAATACAATGATGTGTCTTACCTGGATTGAAGAGCACCTCTCGCCCTCCCCCAATTGCGTGCTTCAATCCCGTCACCACTAATCCTAGCACTACTACTCCTAACACCACTACTCCCGGCACCACTACTCCCAACACCAATATTCCAGGAAACACACACCATCGACGATAATACGACACGTGTTTCGTCTCTACACGAGGCTTTCTTAGGTGACGATCTCAGACTCTACGGCGGCTGACCGCTAAGCCAGCTTGCTGGGATTAGTGGTGACGGGATTGGTGCACGCAATTGAGGGAGGGTGGGAGGTGTTCTTCAATCCAGGTAAGACACATCATTGTATTTAGTTAGCTGAAGGTTGCAAATTAATTAATATCTTTATTACGAGCACTTAAAACTATAAAAAGTCACAAGGACACAAATATATGTTGTTGGTAACGAGGG